GACCGGCCACTTGGTGATGTCATCGGGCCACACGTGGGGTGGGTTGGACGCCGGCTCCTCGCACGTCCTGGAGGGAGGAGGTGGGTGGGCGGTCAGGATGGGTTCCCCCAGCACATCCCCCCCTGCAGACCAGTAACCCCCCCTCGGGCACAGCCAGCCCCAGGACCTGCCCTGTCCCCTGGCCTGGGAGGGATCCTGCACATTGGGGTCCTACAACACCCCACAGCATCACCTTCCGCAGGTGAACCCCGCGGCACTCACATCTGTCGGACAACGCCATCGATGTCCCCTCGCAGCATCACCCGTCCCTCCCCGCACCACCCATCCCAGTGGAGCACGGCAAGCAGGGGCCACTGCAAGAAAACAGCGTCCCCCATTGCTGCTGCTGTTTAGGACAGACCCCACCTCAGTTTCCCCACCGATTCCCTTTCCCTTCTCACTCCCCTATGGTGTGCCAGAGCCCCCCAGCCCCTTGGACAAGAGGATTTGGGGCATCCAGGCTGGAAACGCAGCCCCGCACAGCACCTCTGCTGTGCCCCTCCCCAACCGTCACTCCTACCTGGGGTCCTGGTGACACACAGCCCCCGACGTCCGCTTCTCACCCTGCACCATGGCTGGCGCGTTGGTGGCCGGCCACTTGATGAACGTCGCCAACGTCTCCTGGGGAGGATGAAAAGATGGAGGTTGTGGGATTGAATGCACTGCTCTGACCCCACACGCATCCTGCTCCGGTGCTGTGCAGGACAGAGATGGTTTTCCCCCTTTTCCCCAGGGATGCCCAGCACTTTCCCGGTGCCCGCGGCGGTGGCGGCACGCACCGAACAGTCCTGCGGCAGCGTCTGGATGCAGCCCGAGTTGTCATTCTGGACGCAGCAGCCGGAGCTGCGCTCCCGGTCCCGCTCACGCTGGATGAGCCGCTCCACCTGCCGATCCTTCCAGAAGCAGGGGGAGAACTTGGCTCCCAGATGGATCAGGTCGATCTGGGAGAGAGATGCCAGTCCAGAGGATGCTCCGTGGTCCTCCTCCCCCGACCTCTCCTCCCTCCAGCTGCCCCCCGGGGAGAGCTCAGCAGGGACAGGGGGTCCCCACAAGGGATACCCCTGAGTCTCCGTTACCCCAGGGGCGGGAAGGCGGGTGGGAAGGGAATGGGGTTTCTTCTGACCATCCCACCGTGATGCCACAGGTCTGGGAAGCACTGCTGAGCCCCTAGCCCGAGCTGGGACCAGGCAGCAGGTCCAGAGGGATGGAGGCACCGAGGGCCCGGGGCAGCAGGCTGGGACGAGGGGTCAAGCTCTTCCCCTGGGGACAGAAACACCCCCAAAGACCCCCAATTTGGCTCAGGGCAGGGGGAGCAGAGCCTCGGTGGTGCGGCAGAGCCCTTACCGAGCTGGGCCCGATCCAGAAGTTTTCCTGCTGGATGTACTTGACGCTCTCGTAGACGCCCTTGTTCCTCAGCACCTGCCGAGCCAGGCCAGGGTCAGCTCCC